AACCATAATCCACCCGCCCTTCCTTGCGAAAGAACCTGATATTGTTTGTCATAACCTAAATGGTTCATAAAAGCCATAGAATCATCATGAGACTCTGCCTTCGTTTCTAGAAAGCAAATGATGTCTGGTCTATTCATTTTAATAAGTTCTTTACATTCCCTTCTGAAAGGGCCATATTTCACGCCCTTACTGTTCCAAGTTATCACTTTCATCTAGATATAATCGATGAAGGGGTAGCTACAACATTATGTGCAGGTGGTAAGGTGACATTTTCCAATACTACCTTTCGATTGTCAGGAGGCTCAGTAGGTTGGTTGTAGGCTAGTTGCTGTAACTTCGGACAATTAAGCGTACCCATACTATGGGGTTGTTGAGAGTTCTTGCAATGTGCTTGAGGCAGTAGATTGATAGGTGTTTGAACTGGCACTTGTGGGACAGGGAGTGAGGGTTGTTTCTCTAGTTCTTGCAATGTGCTGGAAATGGTACTTCCATTCAGAGTTACAATTCCAAGTTTTAATCTTTATTTTGTTATTAATTCTTTTTTTTAAATGGAATCATTTTGTTATTTCTTTTAACTGCTCACTAACCCGCCCTTTCAATGAACAGAACAGTTAAAATAAATAACAAAAGGAAGGAAGATTACTACCTGAAACTATAAAGGCAAAAACTTATTTTTAGCCTTTGACCCACCAAGTTTGAAGGTTTTTGTCTCTTATTTTATATTATAATATTTTTAATTTTTTTATCTTATTAAATTTGTAAGTTGTAATTTTTATCTTATTTTATGATATTTTTAGTTCTTCACTTTTTAACATTTTATTAGTTTTCTTAACTAATTGTCAGTGTTGTCAAAAGTGATTGCTTCACCAGTTAAAGCGATGAAGCAAAGCAATCAGAGGCACTATTGCTTCAAAATCTTTGAAGCACTTCGCTTAAAAAATGCGGTCCTAAAGTGACTGAAGCAAAGTGAAGCGATAAAAGCGCTTTGATGTTGAAGCGATCGCTTTTTTAAAATGACAAAAAGTATAAAAGCATTAAGGGTTTAAATTAGATTTTGACTCCAACAAAAACATGAAGCTCTGTGCCTACTGATTACCTCTTCCCCTAATTTTCTTTGTAATTCCATTGTCTTTTGACATCATCGTCCTCCTAAGTCCTAACTTTGTCATCTTCCTGAGTCTTAACTTCATCAATTCATCTTCCATTTACAGGAAAGTCCTTTCTTGTTTCTTTTTTTTTT